GATCTACTCCCTCACATAAAATAATTTCACTTTCTCATGAAAAATTGCCCCGGAAAAGGAAAGCTTTCGAAATTTGCCTGATGATACAATGTTACCTATTTTGCTTAAAAGTGAAAGAATGAAAGGGTAGATGTTGATTAAGTTCATTCTTTGCTTTGCCTGTGTGATCAAAAGCGCTCTAAAATGCAAAGTTAAAAAATGGAAAACCGTAGAATTTGTAGCTCTGTCGCTAAGCAACTATACCATTAAAACAATAACACATCAAGGGCGTTGCTGTTATGCGAATGTTTACACAGCAATTATGCAAACAAATTATTTCGAGGGAGGTGGGGGTGTAGGCCGAAAACCACATATTCAACGGATCGATATACCCGAGTTAAATATACTGCGTTCCTGGCACTGTCTCAAACCCTCAACATTTTGGGCTCATTACGCTAGTGAAAAGCCATATGTATTATATATATAAACCATCCTTATAGCAAACAATTTATAACAAAAAAAAACCTGAAAAATAATATTCTAGCTGTCCGCAGCACATCGTCACGTGGGCCACATGTGGTTGTTAGGCTTTTGTTTAAGACACAGGTGCATACACACAAGAAATAAGGTTGCAATTCTGCTACAATAGCAGCATCCTCTTCCAAATACGCGTATAGGTGAATGCAAATCTGCACCCCAATCGCACCCTTATTTCTTAATGTGTTTAAAATACAAGTAAATCGGGTATAACAGTGAAAACAGGCGCCAATTTTATCAAAGGTATACATCATCATTTTTTAACATACAAATGAAATTGATCATTTATCCCAGGACGTGTAATAACCACGTTTTAGTCAAATCGCTCGCCATCGCTGGGGTATGCTTAATTGAAAATGTAATGATCTGGAAGGGTGGTTCCTTTACAAAAACAATATTTAGTGTTGCCATAATTATTTAGGGTACGTTACCGTAATCAATTACAGTGTTTGGTGGGTGAACACACATACACACACACGCGCACACAAACACTCACACGCGCCCACACAACGTCTTCTATTTATACAGTGCAGTCTTTTCAAACGATACCCAACTTTACCGAGCAACCTTTTGTTATATACACACTTAGATTTATTTTATCAGTACATCATTAGAACACAATTTCTCTTTTTCACACGAATCACACACACACACACACACGCACCCACACGCGCCCACACATAAACAACGCCTTATATTTATACGGTGCAGTTTTTTCAAACGAAAACCAACTTTCCATAGCAAAATTTTGTTATATACTCAATTAGATTTATTCCTAAACATCATAACAATAACTTTATTTGACATACAAATTAAGTGTTTGTGCTATTATATTTAACAGTTTTAAACCAGCAATGTACAAAAAGATATACGGTCCAGAGTAGGATTAGCACAATACTAATGACTGTTTATTCAACTCGTCTTTGCTTTCATTTTGATATCGTCTTTCAATCACATTATCCATCATCATGTAAGTATATGAAATATAATTACATTCCAAGGTCACGAACATATCAATATGTATTTTAAAAAATATGAAAGGTCACTTATCTGCTTTTTTTTCTTTTGTGTGGGTGTGTGCATTAGTGATGAATCTTAAATAAGTCATTACTTTCTTGCGCAAATGAAGTTCAGACTAGCATTTTCGACGATTACTTAATAAGCTGAAGGAAAGATGTGAAAAATGTAAACAAATTGTATAGGTTATGAATGCAATTGGTGTAGAGCTCAGGAAAGACGGGAGAGGAAAAAGAGAAAGAGAGAAAGAATTTAAGAGCAGAGAGAGAAATATAGAAAAAAGGACATGGATACATGATTTTATAAAGCATGAAGAGAAAAAAATATAGAGAGAAATAACAGATAGAAAGATAGGGAGAATAGATACAGAAATATAGAGAGAGACGGACAGAAAGAGAGAGAGAGAGGTAGAGAGAGAGAGAGAGAGAGAGAGCAAGACAGAGAGCGAAAATGAACGGGGAAACATATTTTATAATTCGGAAGCGATATTTTTTCCAGCTTAATAAAAAAGAACGAACAAACGAAAGAAAGAAAGAAAACAATCGGAGACCCTTTCTGCTTTTATGCTTGAAGTTTCCTTTAATGTCACCGGTCATGAAACAAAAAAGAAATAAAAGGAAAAACGACTCAAGAAAGAGAGAAAAATAAGAAAGATAGAAAAACAAAGAAAGAATAGAGAAGAAAAGCAAAGAAAGAGTAAATATATAGCCTTCACCCTTGGCGCAATGTATACGCTTTCTTGCCTGTCACCGTTCATTAAACTTAAAAATAAAATAAAAAAGTATTTAAAAAAAAGGCTCTACCAGACTTGCAGCCTTTTCACACACACCTAAAATTCATCGTATGTAGAGCTGATTAGTTTAAAGCTGTTTAACTCAACAGTTTTAAACAGTTTTAAAGAAAAATTTCCCTGTGTGAACATCGTTTTTACGATGTTCGGATAGATATGCAGTCGCGATTCATACGCCCCTCAAAGCAGGCTGCAGATATGAAGTTCGTATCTAGAGAGCCTGACATTTTGTGTGTGAACGGTTATACGTGTTTAAACTGGATGGAGCGTGCGCTTTGTTTGATATGACCTGATCTTCAATGCGCAATGGCACTACTGCGCATTTTAAGAGCAGTAGTTAATCACGAAACGATTAACGATCGCACCGAAATTTCTGAGTGTGAATGATGTCGTATGTAAAGCTGATTAGTTTAAAGCGCTGTAAACTAATCAGCTTTAAAGAATTTTACTCGTGTGTGAAAAGGCTGCACGTGGCTCTTGAATATTACCATTCATGAGAAGTAATCATCGCCCCTGATCGTCATGTTTGTCAAAATATTAAGTAGTCGAGCTGTTTACTGGGGACTTTGTGTCGATCTAAAATCCCTATTCTTGGGGATTGAGAGCATTTTCATCAGTCAATGCCTTTCAAGCGTCAGAAACTGGGTGACACTATATAAAACCGCCTACCATCTGACAAAATTGTGCTTTGCAAAGAAATTGGCGCAACTCCCTGCACGCTATGTAAACAAAAGAATAAAACGAAATAAAAGAGTCTATCAAAAGTTTAAGACATTGCAAAACGGAGGCGTGAAAGTGTTAAATAATTCTTCGGTAATATTCATGGCTATATCTCGGTTTTCGATTCACGACAATGCATACAAGTATATGTCATGTAAGTGGTAATGCTAAATTCACACCGACGCCGAATTGATGGCGAATTAAATCGGCGAGCAAAGCGGCGGCAAAGCGTAACAAAGCTTAATTAAAGCGTAAAGACCGTAATAGAGCGTGAGAAAGCTTTGAGCAATTTGGGACATTCGGCAAGAGCGCCAATTTTTTTAAACTGTTTAAAAATTTGAGGCGATCTGTCACGAATTGCGTAAAGCGGGGAGAGCGTATTAAAGCTTATCAAAGCGTCACAAAGCTTATCAAAGTTTTGCTCAAAGCGTTGGAAAACTTAACAGAGTTTAACAGAGCTTGGTTCAAAGCGGTGACCCGACTTTGTATGCTCTGTCACCAATTGACACGCTTTGTTAAGATATCTGAGCATAACATATCTGAGGAGATCGTGAGATTTAAACAAAAATGACGCCGAAATGATTGCCGATTTAAAGCGCGACATTCGGCGTCGATGTGAACTGTGCATAATGATGATATGGCTAGACATAATGTAGATGCAGGTGCGATAGAGTATAACATATATGACACCCATGCCCTTCACATGATTACATCAAGCAATATTGTATTTCACATGAATCGTGTTTATATGTGCCGAGCACAAATTATTCGCACACACGAGAGAGAGAGAGAAAGAAAGAGAGAGAGAGAGAGAGATGTGGAGAGATAGATAGAGAGAGAGAGAGAGAGAGAGAGGGAGAGAGAGAGAGAGAGAGAGAGAAGGAGAATTAGGTTAATGGAAAACCGAAAAACGTCACCACCGCTCTAATGTGTAGGAGAGTACAAGTAAGAAAAGAAGATAAAGAATGAGAATGGGAAATAGGAAAGAGAAGGTGAGAGATGGAGAATTTTAAAGAATGCAAGGGAATTGGAGAACAGGATTTTGGATAATTAGTTAGGACAGAAGAGAAGAAAAATAATGTAATAATGGAAGAGAAGAATAGAAAAGGAAAAATAAGAGACGGGAATTACGAAAGAGGTGAAATAAAAGAAGGAAAACGGGGGAATGCAAAATAGGACGAGAACTAAAGAGAGAAGAGGGGGAGAAGTAGGATTTAAAAAAAAAAGGAAAGTAAAGTAATAGCCCGACGGTGATAGAAATAGTATAAATGACGGAATGAAAATACGAAAGGGATTATAATTTATGAATGCATGGATATTTCTTCACAAAAGCCATCAGGCGAGGCTTTCAATTAAGCTTTCTTGTATGATTTGTACCGCCAAGCATAGACTCTGTTCTTGTAATGTCGGATAAGCCGTTCCAAAGCGGGTTATTGTATTTGCTTCCTGCATTACGACAGATCACACACCAAATTTAAAATAACAATGATAATAGTAATAATGATTATTATAATAATAATGATTATAATTATAATAATGATAATAATGAAAGTAATACTAGTGTTAATAAAAAATAATGATTGTAATGATAATGATAATACCACTTATACTACCGCTATTACTACTACTATTACTGATCAGAATAACAATGACAATAACAATACTTCATGTAGATAAAAACATAGGGTCGTTCACTCTCATGAAGAAACAAAAAAAAAATCATTTTAATATTCAAATGGGACTTAAAGGTTTCAGGTCACCAACTGAAGCCTACTACTGCTACTACTACTACTACTATTACTACTACTACTACTACCACTACTAGTACTACTACTACTACTACTACTACTACTACTACTACTACTACTACTACTATTAATCCTTGTATCCAATAGGGAGCTAGGACAACAGTATCAAAATGTTATCCACTCCTTCTCCCTTTTGTTATGCATTACAGGTCGTGGGATTTCTCAATCTTCTCTACCAGTTCTTCGACTCCTGCATTGAAAAATACGACGTCTACAAAGTCGAGACCATCGGCGACGCTTACATGGTCGTCAGCGGTGTTCCCATACGAAACGGTGATCGACATGCTTTCGAGATCGCCTCGCTGGCTCTCGACATGATCGAAGGGGTACAGACCTTCAGATTACCGCATCTCAAATCTGAGAGAGTACTGATGAGGATCGGTGCTCACACAGGTAAGAACTTCGTGAGGAATCTTAGACGTATGTGCCTTTAGGGGCTTAGGGTTGCAACCCCCCCCCCCCCCCAAAAAAAAAAAAAAAAAAAAAAAAAAAAACGTGTACTTTGATTCTTATGTGCCACATAAATAATCTCCCTTTGCCAAATTTTATTCATCATGGGAAAGATATGCCAAAGTCTTTAACATTATGTAGCTGTTTCCATTGCAAGAATAATATATACCGACGTTGGAAGGCTTGTCATGGAGCTAATCAATTTCGCAAAGCCAGTTTGTCGCAGAGAGCAATCGGTACGTTAATTGTTTTGTGGAAGGAAATTACACGTGTTGTATAGGAGCGACGGTACAGAGAGGCTCAGTAAATAACCGAACTGTTAATCAATTAAATCCCACTAAATTGGATTTTGTTTTAACTATATTGCATGCTTTAATACTGAATCGTGTATCCTCTTGCCTCTATTACTCCTCCCTGTACTACTGATGATATCATCGAAGGCATTCGTATTTATTTATTTTTCTTCATTCAATATTTTTCTATCTTTGATTAATACGTTGATTGATGATTTATTCACATTTTACCATCTGGGCCCCGTTGCACAAAACCTATTATTGATAGTAACTTTGTCATCAATGGTAACTACCATGGAAACCTTGATTTTGATTGGCTGTTGAGCCCTGTTACCATGGTAGTTGCCATTGATAGCAAAGTTACCATCAATGGTAAGTTTTATGCAACAGGGCCCAGGTCTGAGTATTTTGCATTTCATTTAATGTATCAAAATTTCAATTCAGTTTTGGCTTTAAAGATTAAGATATTGATTCAATTATGTATAATCAAATCAAATAAATCGTGTACGCACATTTATTTTCTTGGAATATAAACTATTGACCCAAACTTAGCCAATGATTCCGTTAGGGTTATTTAATCAAATGAAGTGAATCAAATACAATCAAACAAAATAAAACGATATCGAATCAAATCAATCCAAACATATTGATTGAAATAAAATGACATCAAATCTAGTTAAATCTAGCCAAATAAATTCATCTCATTTTAAATCTAATCAAATCAAATCGCATCAAATTAAATCAAATCATATCAAATCGAAATCAACATTTCAACCTCTCTAACAGGTCCGTGTGCTGCCGGTGTTGTGGGATCAAAGATGCCTAGATATTGCCTGTTTGGAGATACGGTCAACACAGCCTCCAGGATGGAGTCTAATAGTTATCGTGAGTAAACTGAAACCATGCCCATCCGATGGCTTACTTAGCTCCATCGGGTCTCTGCGTCGTGTCGGGTTGTCGGGTTGCACGTAAACGAAAACATACCATATTCCCCACAGGTCGGATACTATACGTTGCCTAGCTATACGATTGCCCTATATTCACGAATGGTCGGGTAAACTAATATTTTTTTCCTTCAAGACAATCATTGAGAAAGGGCTAAATTTACTTCGTGTTTATTTGTGAAAACAAGCGAACACATTCAGGCAATGACGAAGTGTTGATCGCTGGCCTTGTTATGTGAAAAATTATCTCGAATCAAAAAGTTATCGTACATTTGCTGTAGGTTTTTTTTCTTCAAAGAGTGTCGAGGCAACTGGACCCAACACTGAGGCGATGAGTGGGGTGTATATCGTATACGTTAGACCCGACCCTTCGCGAATAAGAGCTTCATAATTCACGAAAGGTTGTGTATTAAAACGGGAAGTTGTCAGGCTTTTGGCTTTCTCTATATCTTAGTTTACAGTTTTAAAGAAACGATTATGATAAGAAAAAAGCTGTTTATCATTGACTTTTTGTATTTGATTTGTTTCCAGCAATGAAGATCCACATCAGTGATGATTTTAAATCAGTCCTGGATACTATCGGAGGCTTTCAGACCGAACCCAGAGGTATCATAGAGGTCAAGGTAAGTACTACCGGTTCACTAATAATTCAGTTCTGGTAAGAAAAGAAAAATAATTCTTACAAAATCAAACAAAACTTACACTGAATGTTCAAGATTACAAATGAATGTCATGTGCCAAACAATTTAGTTAGAAAATGTATACTGACTGAGTAATGAGCATGGAAAGATAAGGAAATCAAGGTAAGCTAACCCCTACACCATTTGTGTAGTCCCATATACATCTTTCTGTGTACAGTGCTTGTTACTTTACCAAGACTGGGCCAAATTTATTATGATTTTGATGACTCGAGAACCTTGCAGTGCACACCAATACTTACATTCTACATGATCAACTTTTTTCTAATCCATTCCACACCTTTTCTTTCACAATGCAATCGCATTACCAGAACTCACCTTTATCTTTAATCTTAAAGTTATCAGTATCTCCATGACATTGTACCACAGTGTTTAGTCAATGGGTTTATGTTAAGCAATGTGTGTGTGTGTGGACGTGTGCGTGTAGGTGAGTACTGGGTTTCTGACAGACAAAAGACCAAAGACCAAAGAGTCCTCCGTTCAATCACAAATTTGCCTCTTGATGAGTGAGGTCTTGGGACCCAAGTTTAAAAAGGAATTGGTAACATTGTTCAGATGAGAGAAAATGGTGCTAATGTATTTAATTCAATGCTAGATGTACAATTAAAGATAATTTGAAAGTTTGAGTGAAAACGGACCATTATAATGATACAAATTGGGAAAAACTGATCTGATCGATTCCTTAAATCCCCCAAATATATTATTACAATTTAATTACATTTAGGGTCACCTTTGTAAATCGCCACCGAGCAATGACTTGGCTCCATATACCATCCCAGACATTTAAGTGATCAAAGATTGATAAAAGCCCGTCTTTTATCTTATTCTCAAGGAAAAACGGTAGGGAAAATTCAAAAATGGTTGGGAGAGTTTACCGTTAATCGTTGTTAGAGGGTGTTGCACAGTGACGCCTTCAAAGAAAACCATAAATATCTTTGTGGTTTGAGGATTTTCTGAGGATTTTTTGCCTGTTAGAGGGTATGTACAGTAGAAGGAATATAGTTGTTGTTGTTGTTTATCTTTTTCTTCTTATTTTTCCTCTTCTTCTACTTCTTCTTCTTGTTTCTTCTTCTTTTCTTCTACTTTGTTCTTCATCTTCCTTTTCTTCTTGTGATTGTTCTTTAAGTGTTTTTAAAATAAATAATTGTATATTGTTCTTCCTGATTGCTTACTTATCCTACACAGGGAAAAGGCAACATGTTTACGCATTGGCTTCTGGGTAAGGATCCCCCTCAGCGCGAACGTACGTCCTGTCCTGAGGTCGAGATCGGTGACGTTGGTAACGCGGGGTCAAGAAGCGTGTCAAAGGTCAACGGAAATGACATCATCAACTATGGCTACTATCGTGACGACGAAGAAAATTAAAATCTATAATTTAGTAGATACTGACGCAGTACAAAAACTAAATAGGAAGAAGAGTAGAGACTCAAGAATAGGCCTACGTCCTTAAAACGTGCCTACATACACACATGTGTGACTATCTTGCCTAGAATTTGATATAACGGTACATTTTGCAACATAATCCAGGAGTAGGTTTCACACACCGTATATACAAGCTGGATTTTCAGGAAATGTTTCGGCTAGTCTGTGTACTATTCTTGCTCGTATTGTAATATCGATAAGAGCATTTTGCATTTCATTGCCATATTTGTTACATCATTTCTTCATGTTTTGGTTTTGTGTGTCTTTGCCTAATGTTTTCATAATTTATTAACAATTATGAGCTTTATTCATCTTTTAAAACTATTTGTATTCCGAAATTCAATGTGAATTACCATGTGACATTCGGCTTTGCAGTGATACATCTGTTTTGGACATTGCAGGCAGGCTAAAGATGTATTACTCTCCCATTTTGAAACGATTTTTCGTTGAAGTTTTCGAGTCGTCCTATCTGAACTTCAATTTATCCACAAACAACTTTCGTCTGAATATTTATCGTTTGTAATTGGTGTTATCAATTTGTTCAACGCCCTACGTACTCGTTTGTATTTTGGAATTGAACCCAACTTATGTCTGCATCGTGCTTAGACTTGGAACTGATTATTTGGAATCTGGGAAAATACTTCAAACACAGCGAATGACGAACAGTGAATATAGTGCATTTATTCAATTCAATTTTATTTCTGTTTCCAACAAAACATTACAAAAATCAATTGTAATCATTTACAACAATTAAAGAATACATATTGGAAACTGAGGGGTCCACTAAAAAGCAATGCTTGTACAATATTGTAGTCATCATGTATCCAATGCGCGATATCATGTACAAAAGGCATGGGGAAAATATTCAAAAGTCAACCGCTGTTAATATGTATTTAAAACAAAATAATGTGAAAATATTCATTTCGTATTTCTGCCATTTGGAAGGTTTATTTACATGACTAATTCTTCAGGGATTTTGAAGATAATTGACCCACAGCGTTATGTTAATAAAACTTATATCGACATTTTGCTTCACTTTGCAAATTCCCCCCATGCTTTGCGTACACAATGCCTCGCATTAAACGTTGAGGGCTCCATAGCGCTATTTGCTGTTATTCAAGCATTGTCTGTATGGTCGGTTTTTCGAAGTTATGTCTGAAAACCGGCTATCCGATCATGGATTTATCGTTTATCAAGCTAAAACAGTGTCGTGCTTTTAGGAGAGTTTAGCCAACCCGGTTCGAGTTGTATTGGGCACAATATGCTTTACTTGGGGGAAATACAATACAAAGGAATAGATGTCACGTTGTCACCTGCTGAAACCAAGTTGGCTAAACTATATGTTCAATTTTTTTTCAATGTTTTCCATTTGGTTGAGTATAATGTGTATACAGCTTGAAATTAAAGAAATCTTACTCTGCATGTATTTACTTCTCGTCTAATTATAAATTATATTAAAACAAAAACAATTACGTTTTACCAAAAATAAAATGTCCTTTAATATAACGATCTTGTTGACATTAAAAGAATTGTTATTGAAAGTAGTTACGAAAATTAGATTGTTAGATTTTTTTTAAAAGCAGACAAATAGATGAGTGATTGCCAGGAAGGAGACTTCTATATTCAACTGAGATCAAAATGTGAACATTCATTCATTTGTAACTTTACCATAAATACCTGAAAATATATGAAGAGCAATTTTTTAGAGATACAATGTAATTCTTGTCATGCGGTTGCATCATAAAAGAAATTGTCTGGAAGCTATTGGAAAATGTTGATCATGTAGCAGATAAGTATATACTGTGTATACTGTGAGGTTTTGGGATAAACAAAATGTTTTTTCAAAAATATCCAATTCTTGCCTAAGGTCACATGCACTTTACACAGTAATGTATACGGGACTACTTAAACACGTGGCATGAAAGTGTGGTCGACAACCTTGAGCTGTTATTTGTTATATTTCGGATATGGGGGGATTCGAAGAGCCATCCTTTTCAGGGGACATTACTTCTATGATGCTCTTCCACACTTACATGTATAAGAAGGGAAACGATCACAAATTCTAGTTCACCTGACCTTTCCCAGAACTCAACCTTATCTCTATGGTGTACAATGCAGGGACGAATCTAGGGGGGGGGGGGGGGGGGTGTTTGGGCGGTTTAATCCCCCTTGGGCGGCCAAGTGAAAAAAGGAAAGTAAAACAGTAAAACGGCGCGATTTTTTGATTTTTTGTGTGTGTGTGGATCAATCCCCCCCCCCCCCTCGGCAAAAAGTTAGATCCGCCCCTGCAATGACTGATAACGGTAAGAGATATAGACTCATACAATGCTAGGTTATTTTTTTCAACAATACTTGTTCTTACGTGTGATCCTTGTACATGTATAATGTTAAGTGTATTATTGACATCTGTAAATGACAGTGCTCATTAGACATAACATGCAATAATATTAAAAACTAGTACTTAATTGTTCTAAAGGAAGTATTAAGTGCCACTGATGGAGTCTTTACGTCTTTACATCATTTTACGAATTCGAACTTGTGTAAAATACATGAAATTACTATTTATTATCAATTCTACTTGGCTTTTTCAATTCAAAGTAAAGTCTGCAGCAAGCTTTATGGATCTCTGATGGTTGTGGTGGTGGTGTGGGGTGCGGCCGTTCCAATCCCTCCTGTTACCGCCTCTATTAATATATGTCCCTTTTTTAGGCGAACCATCATGGAAACAATGAAATCTTAAACGGTATGAAATTCAATTTAGTACGTCTGTTCTTGATAGTGTACATTAATTGCCTTATTCCCTGTATAATATGTATATGAATATGTTTAAGTAGATGTTTGGTGTTTTTTTTAAATAAAATTGGTCTGCTAAACCGTTCGTTAAACCTATACTAAAAACTGAATACTGACGATCTTATGTTTGGTAATGTTGTGTACGTTGTGGCTTGTTGATTAGATTACCCATGTTCATCATAGTCTACGCCATAATGATGCTACTAGCATGACTGTATACAGATGACATCGTTTTTGCGCATTCGTGGGAGGAGAGATAGTGACAACAATATTCACACGGGACAATCTTCGAGTCGTAGGTTTACGAAGCCTCAAACTCACAAACAATATTCCACAATCAATTGAATATTATTATCATGTATTATTGAATTATTATTAGACCAAATGGAGAGTAGACAAAATGGGCATTAGACAAACTGGTAATTAGACCGACTGGCAATTAGACTTAATGAACAATAGACCAAATGATTATTAGTCTAAATGGTCATTAGACCAAATGATGAGTAGACAAAATGATTATCAGACCATGTGGATAGTAAACTGGCTGGGTGTAGACCATTTGGGAATAAGCGTATTGGGTAGTAAACGAATTAACACAGGGAAGCTGCCATTTAAGAATAACCGTACTTAAAAGCACTGATACGCCTAATCCCCATAATTAATATCATTAATTTTCAGATTTTATACACAAATTAGCTCAAAAGATGTTCATCCCCTGAGCTAAAGTGTCAATCCGAGAGCTTCTTTAGTCATTTTCGTTCTCTTTAGTTATTCTCTTATTTCAACACGGAAACACTTGCTTTAGCCAAAAGCTATTCTCTAGCAAGTTCGCGTCAATTTTGAATTGTCCCTTTAAAGTTAACAGTTAACCCCTCATAACCCCTGGAAATGGTAACGGGAGATGGCCATATTATTAACAAAAATAGAGAAAATACAGTGTATAAAGATAATCAGATTTTCTTTTTTGAATGATAGAACGACCAGGATATGATACAAAACAGCCTACCTGCATTTTAACCTATATGGTACTTGGAAATACTGCATGGAAATCAGAACACAGGGTCGTACACAGCCGATGTATTGTCATAAAGTTTTCAAAAAAACACCAAGGTTATCAACTCGAACTTGTAAAGAATCTTCCTGTTCCCTTGAATATACCCATCTAGATGCATTTTGAAATCCTGAAGCTATTGCACACAAATAACAAAAATTACAAAATCTTCTAATAGATTTTTTCCAGAGATGAAATCCTCTAACATGACCATATTCTATCCAACTGTAACATTGATTGAAGGAACTATAAGGTTTTCCTTGATACATCTATAATATCGCATTTATTTTAAATTAGACTGCAATTTTGGTATGTTCTTAATAATTACAGGAAAATGATAAAGACAGAGGGGGTAGAGTGGGGCATCGGAATAGAATGAAGACATAATATTCTATACACTCAGTAAACAAGCAAAGCAGAATAAGGAAGTACACACTACTAAACTTTCGATTTCAAATAATTATAAAATAAGAACTCATCTTTCTTTCGGATATACATTGGGTAGTATTTATTGGAGGGCCAGGAGCTATTTGAGGACTGTAAAATAAGCCACCAATATCGTTTTGTATGTGTGTGTGTGTGTGTTTGTGTGTAGTTTTTTTTGGATACTAAAGCATTGTTATAGAGCATATCATCCATGTACAACGTTCTACTATTGTTTTTGCCTCCCTTTCGAAAGTTGTCATTGAATATCTCTTAAAAAACACTATTTCAAGTGGGGTACCCCCAAGGAACGATCTTCTGGCCAATATTGTTCACAGTCTGTATCAATGATTTCCATCAATCTTCAGATATTCTTTAGTTCATCCTGATTTTTGGTTATGACTCAAAAAAAATTCTGAGTAATAAAGACGCTACTGAGTTGATAATTACGTTAAATGATGCCAAAAAGTGACACACTGGATTAAAGCAAATAAACTCTCATTGAATTTCCAAAACACTAATTTTATGTTTTTTTTAGTGAAATTTTATCTTCCCTTCCTGGTGACATAATCTTTGATAATGTAAAAATGTCGGAAGTGTCTTTTACAAGATTTTTAGGCTTTACTATTATTGACAAAGAACTTTCTTTGGGAAAATCGATTTATAGAAATGTTGGAATAACAAATAAAATGAAATATTATTTTCCACCAAACATTCTGAAAATGCTTCACTCTATACTTGTACCCTCTTATTTAAATTATGGAATCATTGGATGTGGAAATTCCTCAAAAACACAAATTGACAGAATTCATTTATTGCAAACAAGGCACTTCGAATTATAAGCGACGCTCGATTCTTTGCTCATACTGACAAATTATTTTATGACAAGTTATTCTGAAGGTTTTTGATTTATATTTCCTTCTCCTTGGTCAATCTATGTTTTAACTGGATATAAAAGATTTACCACAAATATTTAGTACTATGTTTTCCAAATATAAACATTATCATACATATCCTACAAGACAGTCAAATCTCTATCATTTACCGCGTGTAGGAACAGTATCAGCAGTTATTACCTTTACGTACAGTGGACCCGCATTTCGGAATTCACTTGAACCTACTCAGAAAAATGCTTCTACATTGTATTCATATAGACTTCCCTTAAAAAGGTTTTTTTTAAAACAATATAAAGTGAGCTAATGTTGGAAATGCTATTTGTATATATTTGTGATATTCACATAATATGATGAAGCTTGTTTTACCTGAAAGGTTTCCATTGATGTGATAGTTTGTGATTCTCTCCCGTTCCCTTCTTAATCTTTATTCTCTCTTAGTATCCTCTCCAATTTTTTTCTCCCTATCTATCTCTTTTTCTTTCTATAATCCTATTTGAAGCCTCCCTTTTTTCCTTCTAATTGCACATCATCCTCATGTTGCTCCCGTCCTCATTCTTTCCCTTTCTCTCTCTTTTTTCCGTCTCACTTTCTTGTATGTTTGTAATTAAGTTATTCAAGGGGACCTATAGTAATACAAGCTTCGCTTCTCTGATGGGTCCCCCACACACTCTCTCTTCATCTTGAAACAAACAAGAATATTTTGTTTTCTCTTTCATCATTTGACGATACAGGCTATATTGTGTAATAGTTATTAAGATGTTACAATCTGTTACATTGATACTTGTGTTTTTAATTGTATAATGTGCACTTAGCGTGTTAAAATTGTTTGAGATGTGTGGAAATAAATAAATGAAATTGAAACATGAAAATTAGCCACCAATGTTTTGTATTTAGTATTTTTATTATTATTTCTGGTTTTTTGTTTTTGTTTTTTGTTTTTGTTTTTGTTTTTGTTTTTGTTTTTGTTTTTTTCTGGGGGGGGGGGGTATTTTTAGAAATCTAGAGCGTCTTAATAGAGCATCATCCATATAGAACATTCTCATATTGTTCATTTCTTCTTTTCATTCCAATATTCAATGACAGATTACAATTCGACACCCCTTGAAAAATAAGGGGTGCACACCCCGTTTTCAGGTCACACAAGAAAGCGTGATCATGACAAAGCAATAAATCGAATTGAAGATATGGCAAGATATATTTATTTCTTCATTTTTTTGCACACGGACCCATAACTGCGTGACTGTTCTCTCTCTACTATGAATTGACATGTGGGCGTAGTCACGCTAAGGCAATCTAGACAGTTACAATGCACGAAAGGGTGAAACAAACTAGTTTTATTTTTATTTTGCACACGGACCATGGCTGAATGCCTCCTCTCTGTGTGTAATTATTGATAGGTAGGCATGGCCAAGGTAAGACTAGAGAGCCTTTGTAGAATAAACTGGATATAAATTACTTTGCACACGAACATGAGGCTTAACTATTCTTTCTAATAAAACAGAAAAGTAAAAGAGGGCGTGGTTATGATGAAGTGCTCTGGTTAGTTATAAGACAAAGGAACATACATTTCTAGAGACATTGTAAGTTCGGCCAGGCAACATAAATCTCACCGTAGAACACTACTGTACTGTGCATGTAAGCCGTTTGAATCGTTATTGAAAGGGTAAGTTGTGGTAAAGTTTGATTTAATTCCATGCATTCACGTGTGGTTTATCTTGGCGATGCAACAAATGTTTGCTCACGAGCCAAACGCTGATTTTTTTGTTTTGTCTCCTTAATAGTAGCTCTTGAAATACATAAGAAATGTTTATTGTGATTTATTTACTGATATACAATTAACCAATATTTAACAAATATCAGGATAACTGAGGGAGTGGGTTAAAGTTACGTGACCTCGGTATGTTGGCCTATCTGTTTTTTTTCTTCCAAAAATATGGTAAATTGTGAATACACGAGTTCATGCAGGTGCGTAGGGGCCGTTTGCAACACCGCTAACAATCATGAGTTATATCTTTGAAATTAAGGTGCCATCACGAGGGAAAGAGGTTGATAGCTTAAAACCTTTTAAACAATTAAACCATGGGGTTGTCACCGACTGTGGGCATTGTAGGATAACTTTAATTCAGAGTTCAGTTGTATGTTTAATTCAGGGTGTAGCTGTATAAGGTATGTTCTTGTGGTATGTTATCATGTCTATCCGATCAGTCAGAAGTATATACTTGGTCATTATCTTCACCTATTTGGTAATCAGGGGTGATAGGTGTGCTTGGTAGGTACCCGGGGGGTTAGGTACGTGATACTGATACAAAAATGTTTAAAGGTAAAGACCAGTATTGGAGACGCCCCAATTTCAAAAAATGAAATGGAAGCTCTCATTACCAATCATGTGAAAGAATATGTTTTGACTAATACATGATGATAAAAAATTTGCCGGGAAACCGCCTACTAATTCATATATTTGGTAAATTTGTTTCTCTCATGGTCTGTGAGAGATATAGGGTAGTCCCATATACATCTTTCTGTGTATAGTGCTTGCAACTTTACGAAGAATGGGCCAAATTTCTTATCATTTTGATGATTCCAGAACCTTGCAGATGCTAGATGCTAGATGATCAACCTTTTCTGATCGATTCCACAACGTTTCTTTCACAATTAATGCAATCGCATGACCATAACTGGTCTTTACCTTTAAATGCTTGAATTCCTTATAAGTACGTCGATCACAAATCCAGTCTACTCGAAGTGAAAACCTGAACTCTCTATACATTTCTTCCTGATCTTTGATTGCTAGGACCAAAATGGCGTCGTTTGTTTCCATCGCTCTGGTCATGCTGTTGATTGTCAGCACCAGTGCCCAAGGATACGGTCAAGCACAGCTGCACATCAATGGCGCGATTACATACCAAGGTTCAACAGGTAAAAAAATGGGTTATGGTACGAATGTTAAAGGTACTATGTCCCATTTGCAGGCCAAAAAATGAAAAAGTTAAATTCCAACTGCATTTGAAAGATAATACTAATTTAGAACTTCCATAAAAAAGGTGGGGCTTGAAAATGTCTTCAAGTGGGAAAATAACGACTATAAGTTGTCAAATCGACTTTAGGGGTATAGAACCCAAAAGTAATAGTCTTGATTTTCAGACAATTGTACCGAATGGTCATACGTTTTATACTGCGCAAAGATTCAATCAGTTTAATCTTGGCCATCACAAGAAGTGGGTTATTGATGTAGATAAATGCTCATGCACCCTTTACAACTCTTTTCATGTATGTTATTACCAAAGAAGAAAAAAAGCCAGTCAGTCATTATATAGTGTCTGACAGTGAAGTCTAGCAAGTAAACGAGTTTCCTTGCATAATTTGAATATGAGGACACTGCTAACGTTTAAATTTCACAGATAGGACATACATGACATATTCATAATTCCTGCAAAGTTCTACAGCATTTGAGGTTGTCTGCAAAAGGGACATAGTACCTTAAAGGGAAAGAAGAAGAAAGAAGAGGAGGGGGAAAATAAGTCAACGAAGAAGATAAAAAATGAGAAAAGAAGAATGAGAAGCATGGAAAAGATGATGAAGAAGATTAGGAAGAGGAAAAAGAAAAAAAGAATGGATTTAGCTTTTATTAGTTTTTGAGATGCCCGATCAAGATATGTGTTAGGCCTACACTTGGAACGAAAATCTGTTCGAGCCATAATGAGGGGCGGATCCAGGATAATTTTGTCCTACTCCCCTCATTTACATTGAACTAGCAACGGCCTTTTTTGAATTTTATCATACGACAGAAGGCTGCAATAATTTCGGAACTCCAAGCAGTCCGGCACTGTCCTGCCAACATGTCAAGGATGTGTGCCCTGAGGCAGCCAGTGACTTCTACTACATCGAGAGCGCTGGGCTCTATCGAAAGGTATGTTTTTGTTTTAATTCGACGACGGGAGTGGATGGGAACGGGGCACCAGTCACAAGAACGAAAGAAAAAATCTGTTATAACATTTAACTTCTTTTTGGGGTCCAATTTCCTTTTGCGGGCAGGATTAAGTCCACATTCTTTTTGCAATGACAATAATTGCCCCTGCAAGATTCCAGATGGTCGGGGCACGTGTTCCCCCCCCCCCCCGAACTCATAAATCTCAATTGTATGATGCATGTAGCTCCATCCTCACACAGGTAACATTTTACCATCTTCCATCTTGTCTTACATGCAGGTGTTTTGTGAGATGGACATTGAGGGCGGTGGGTGGGCCCGCTACGGCAGGTCCAACCAAGGAACCGTCTGGAACTATGTCGACGAAGACGCCACCGAAATCACACTCGACATCATCTCCCCTTCCGAAGTCAAAGAGATGATTGATCTCAAATACAATAATTTCCTGGTCCAAACTGACGTTGTCTTCAAAATGCAGGCAGATGACAGCATTAACCCATCGCGTCTCACTACACGATCCCTTCCTTGGCTTGTTGATACACCTCTGTTCATTCCTGATTTCGGCAACGACCATACCCGTATTGAATTTCCGTCTGGCTTTGGTAAATGATTTCATCATGTAGTTTATAGTCTCATTTTACACAAGTGTTCATCATGTTCAAAATGTGCATCAAAAAATATTCATAATGTTTTCATTTGTCTGACCCCATTCAATAAACCCATTGGCAATTCAAAAACTCCATGTGTTTGCAACATCACCATTCTAAATGTTATTGCAAAGCACCTGCGTTATACAAAATAGCGCACTGGTGTTGATTCATATTGAAACTGTTTTAATTAGGGATAAAACGCCATCTCCCAGGGTTTACACACTATGTCACCGGGTTCACACCATGTTTTATTTTGTTTTTTTATACAATTAAAATGTGTTTTTCGTTCATACTATAGTTGATCGAGTGACCTGCATTCCAGGGAGTACAAGCAAATGCGGACAAGGGGGAGGGCTACCACCTGCCAATGGGGTTTCCAAACCCTTCTTCTTCCAGTCGCTCTTCTTCTCGCCCCGGGGTACAGGGGCAAGTGCCCACGCTGATCTGTGGAGACGCAACAAGTACACCTGGAACGGAAGCTACTATTACGTGTATGCCAAGTAATAAGTTGTTAGAAAAGTAAAACAAAAAACAATTATGAAACCTTGTTCTAGATAAGAATGATGTCGTATAAATCTATCACGATTTCATTTTTAGTAATGTGTATTAGTACAGATTAAAATGTAACTCAACAAACGAAGGGTGAAGCACTTTCAGCCTAAATGAATTGTAAAAATGAGTTTTGTCAATTAATCAATTTTCAGGTACTTTGTACTTTCCTATTATGTTCATATGGAAACGGAAATAGATAAATAAAATAAAATAAAATAAAATCTAATCTAATCTTACGACATATTTTCCACCAATATTAAATACATCAAAGTTTGGGAGAAGTGGACGTTTTGACGCATTTGTGGGACTGTAAGAATTGAATAGTAAAGATTTAGAGCGGATTAAAGCCGATTAATAAAGGATTTTCGAATTGAATTGCATGCTTGTTTGGCATGTTTCGTTTATTGATTGGTTCCAAATTCTGAGTTCACACGGTTGGTTGACTGATTTGTTCATTGATTGCTTGACTTGTTAGGTAATTGACTGCTTTGGTGATTGATTAATTAATTGATCGATTGAATGAATTATTGGTTGGTTGAATGAATGACTGATTGAGTATCCAATGTATTGGTTAATCGATTGAATGATTTATTAAATCGTTGTATGACTAATTGATTGTCTGATTTGTTGATTACTCGATTGATTGATTTGTTACTCAGTTCAATGACTGATTTTTTGATTGATTGATTGATTGCCTGATTTGTTCATTGATTGGTTGATGGACTGCTTTGTTGATTGGTTGAATGACTGATTTGTTGACTGATTTATTAATTGACTGATTTCTTGATTGATTGACTGCCTGAGTTCTTGATTTGATTGTTGGTAATTGATTGGTTGATCTGTTCAATTATTGACTGGCTGACTGAGTGATTGATTTATTGACGAATTGACGATTTGTAATGAGTACTTTCTTGCTTCATCTACGAATGGCTAATCCATAGACAGAATAGATTCTACTGACTGCATTGATTGGTTTTATTTAATGGATAGGCTGACTGATGTTAGGTATATGTTACTTCAAACATTGTGGCAAATTTCAAGTTCTTTATAGTGATATGCAATTATAACTAAAATACATTTTCATATTAGTCTGAGTTCACCCAATAACTCCATCAATCAATTGACCACTCACCTATCAACCGACCTAATCGACACTCCAAGCAAGAAATTACTCGAATAATAAATCAATTACATATTCAATCATCCAACTAAAATTCATTCAATCAATCATTCAATCAATCAACCAATCAATCAATCAGTCAAACAGCCGATAGACACTCTCATTAAATATGTATAACGATCAACGGTACATTTAGGCCCTTAATCAATCAACACGTTTTTATCCAATCAATCATTCAAACAGTTGATAATTAATAGACACTCTCATTAAATATGCCTAACGATCAACGGTACATTTAGGCCCTCAATTATAAATCAGCAGGGTTTTTTTTATCCAATCAATCACTCAATTAATCTTTCCAACAGTTGATAATTAATAGACACTCTCATTAAATATGCCTAACGATTAACGGTACATTTAGGCCCTCAATTAATCAGCAGGTTTTTTTAATCCAATCAATCACTCAATCAATCGCCTATCTACCAACCAGACACCAAAAGGAAGAATTAATTCAGATTAATCAATAAATGAATCATTCATTCAATCATCCAATTAACAGTCAATCAATCAACCAGTTATTGTACTCAATCAACTTATCAATGATAAATCAATCGATCAAAAAGTCAAACCGTCGATGAATAAATTAACAAACGAACCAATCAAACAAGCCTAAGTATGAACGATACACTTAGCCCTTCATCTTCTACATACGTGTTTTTTCTCTCATTCAAGTTTTAACAAAAAAATAGTATTATTTTACCTCACATCTATTTCGATTTCACTCTTGGTTTCCTTGTCGCTTTGTTTTTACTATGTTAATTTTAGATATGATTATTTGAAAAAACTTCCATTTCGACAAGTGCAGCGGGTGTCTCTTTTGAGAACGGGCTGAAATATATTATTATAAAAGCAAAACTGTCAAAATCATTTTCAGCAATCATGAAGCCGAAAAAGAATTTCGAGAACTACATATACGCAATGTCCATTATTGAAGTATGCTTTACTTCATTATTCGTTGTTCATTTTTATAACATACACAAATAAAACGTGAGAATGATATATTGCCATTATTTAAAAAAAAAACCCACAATATTATCGTTTAGTTGATTCTCCCTAACAACGTGAAATGGCGATATCCCATTGAGAGATTGTGTTGCGGTGCTCCGATGTATGCACCTGCGACAATCGTCGCTCTGAGCTAAATCTCGTCCAATATATAGGCTAAGACTAAGGATTGCATATTTCTAGGCTCAGGTTTAGGTATAGTGTCTAATCTAGGATGGATGTTAAGAATTCGGTTAGTGTACAATATTGATCGCGGAGAAGTCGCCGCAGCATGTGTTGCATAACCAAGTTCGAAAACTCCTCAAATGTGATACATTTTGGACGATTTCGTCAGGTTTAAAAGAAAACAGCAATATTCATTTATACCATCCAGTTCAACAGATAGTAATATAATGTGTTGTGAATGTTGATTTAAAGTATCAAATTGCTAAGAAGATTTGCCCTTCTCATTCAGTTGGGCAAGACTGGAAGTACCAGTAATTGTTTCTGAGTTTTTCATCCAAAGTTGATAGCGCCATCTAGTGGTCAATTCAAGTAACTCCTAAAGACAAGATAATTGACTGCACAGATGATGAGCATTAGAACCAGTGCATCCTGGGATTTTTGTGTGTGATTACATCTGCGCCAGGTAAGTATGCTTAATTAACATCTGACAGAGGATTAGTAGTTTATTGGTGTACGCTATAATAACAGTTCAGGCACGGATCCAGGATTTTCCAATGGGGGGGGGGGGGGGCGAAATTTGAAAATTGCGCAGACCGTTTTTTCAACTCAACATACCAATACTGACAAGGTCATATTAGTAGCACCACACCGGTACAATTTTTGACATTTTCATTGGGGGGGGGGGGGGGCTATTAAAGCCTCTTGCTCGAAACAGAAAAATTCGGTTTCACAATTCGGTAAGGGAGCGAAGCGAGCGAGCAAAGATTTGAGCATAATATTTATTTTGTGAAAGTGTTATTTATCACCAAAATAAAGGAGAAAAGATCTCAAAAATTCATATTCGGGCAGCTCGCTGTCCCCCCCCCCCCTCTTGCGCGAAGCGCGGAAGCTTTGAACTTTCATTTATTATAAGAGAAAGAAGACGATTTGTTGTACCATTATCGACTCTCATTCCTTGTCTCAATTTAGTGAAAGAAGATAATTCGTTGTTCCATTCTCGACTCTCAATCCTTCTCTGAATTCAGTTTCCCTCCAGCGCAAAGCTCAGAAGCTTAACGTTTCGTTAATTATTAGAGTAAGAAGACTCTCGTTGTACCGTTCTCGTCTCTTAATCCTTTTCTGAATTCAGTTTCCCCCTCCCACGCGAAGCGCGGAAACTTTGACGTTTCATTAAATTATTATAGAAAGTAGACGATTCGTTGTACCGTTCTCGACTCTTAATCCTTGTCTGAATTCAGTTTCCCCCTCCCGCGCGAAGCGTGGAAGCTTTGACGTTTCATTGATTTATTAGAGAAAGAAGACAATTCGTTGTACCGTTCTAAAATCTTAATCCTTGTCTGAATTGAGTTTCCTTCCCCTCTCCCGCGTAAAGCGCGGAAGTTTTGACGTTTCATAACATTATTAGAGAAAGAATAGGATTCGTTGTACCATTCTCGACTCTCAATCCTTCTCTGAATTCAGTTTCCCCCCTCCAGCGCAAAGCTCAGAAGCTTAACGTTTCGTTAATTATTAGAGTAAGAAGACTCTCGTTGTACCGTTCTCGTCTCTTAATCCTTTTCTGAATTCAATTTCCCCCCTCCCACGCGAAGCGCGGAAACTTTGACGTTTCATTAAATTATAAGAGAAAGAAGACGATTTGTTGTACTATTCTCGACTCTTAATCCTTGTTTGAATGCAGTTTCCCCCCTCCCGCGCAAAGCGTGGAAGCTTTGACGTTTCATTAAATTATTAGAGAAAGAAGACGATTCGTTGTACCGTTCTCGACTCTTAATCCTTGTCTGAATTGAGTTCCCTCCTCCCGCGCAAAGCGCGGAAGCTTTGACGTTTCATCAAATTATTAGAGAAAGAACACGATTCGTTGTACTATTCTCGACTCTTAATCCTTGTTTGAATGCATTTTCCTCCCTCCCGCGCAAAGTAACGTTTCATTAAATTATTAGAGAAAGTAGACGATTTGTTGTACCGTTCTCGAGGGGGGGGGGGGGAGGAAACTCAATTCAGACAAGTTTTAAGAGTCGAGAACGGTACAACAAAGAGAAAGAACACGATTTGTTGAACCATTCTCGATTCTTAAATCTTGTCTGAGTTGAGTTTCCACCCCCTCAGTTCATTTTCTGCCATTTTATATGACACCTCAATCAGGAAAAATGAGCCAGGAATAACGAAGTTCTGTTTGATGCTTGCATTTCCATAATTTGATAGAACGAATTCGTTTTCACTTGCTGCCTGCCGTAGCAAAAAACACATATGAAAAAAGGTTAGCTCCGTTTCGGTGACGATCAGCCTTGCACAAAAAAGACGAAAGACTTGAGCCTAATCCCCCTAAATGATATCGCTAACAATTATCAGATTTGATATTAAAATTATCTCAAAAGATGTTCATCCCCTGGTTTAAAGTGTCCATCTGGAGCCTTTTCTGTCATTTTCATCCTCTTTATTTATTTTCCAATTCCAACACGGAAACACTAATTGCTTCAGCCAAAAGCTATTCTAGAGCAAGTTCATGTCAAGTTTGAATAGTCCCTTTAAAGTTAAAAGTTACCTCCCGGGTATTATAACGGAAGATGGCTATATTTGTCAAAAATAGAGGAAATCCAGTGTATGATCTGTAAGGTATAGATAATCTGTTTTGTTTTAATGATATAGAACCAGGAAAAAACAAAAAACAGCCTTCCGGCATTTAAACCATTATGGATATCAAAATACTCACGTGATTATCATACAACACTAATATCAACTCGATCTTGTAAAAGATCAATCTTCCTGTTTTTCTTGAATATACCCATCTAGATGCATTTTGAAACCCTGAAGCTATTGCACACAAATCACATAGAAAAAATGTTCTACTAGATTATTACTGAAGATGAAATCCTCTAACATGACAATATTCTATTTGGTATATTCTTGATAATTCCAGGAAAATGATAAAGAGTGGGGGGGGGGGGGGGGGGGGCTCATGAAAGGAATGAAGACACAATATTCCATACACTCAATAAACAAAACAAAACAATAAGAAAGTGGACACTATTT